GATTTTGGTGATTTGTTGGCATGTTTTTGGTTGAAAATGTGTTGCAACTTGACAATTTTTTTTCAAATAGCCGGCATTGGCTTTTCAAATAAGGGGCGTGATAAACAATGGTGTCAATGGGAAACGGTTTGGGTTTTCACAATTCTTTTCAATTAGCAGACTTTTTCTTATAAGCGTTTTGCAATTAACTGGCTGCCACTGTATTACCTGGATGTCTAACCTTCATCATATGACTGGAAAACTAGGATTAATACTTTGAATCATTTTTTTTTTCAAGTATTGCGGCAAGTTGTAAAATTGATGACAGAATTGGAAACATGATAACATTAAGTACAACCAAGATGATAGATGACTATTACTGCATTTGGAAGGAAAGAAGTCGTCAGCCAATTCCTGACCCACCCCCCAAAAAATTCCCACCATTTTCCCCCAGTTGTTGACACAGATGAAGGTACAATTTGATTGTGTTTACATACCCAGTGTTCGAAATACCTGTCTGCAGTCAGCAATCTGCAGATAGATTTTCAAGATTGCAGAAGAAAAATTTATACAATCTGCAATTTTGCAGAAGGAAAAATAGACTCCAGATTCAATAGTTTTCAATTTAGCAAACTAGCACTCTCGGGTCCCATCAAGAACAGACAACACTTGAACTCCTTTTCTGAAACAACAGGAGGTTCTTCACTAATTAGCCTGGATGCCAGACCCAAAGTACACTGGACACAAAATATCTCAGTGTCACACTGAGATATTTTGTGTCCAGTGTGCTTTGGGTCTGGCATCCAGGCTATCACTAATTTGCATCATCCTTGTCTTGACTTGCCTATCTTTTGTTTCCTGTTTGACTTCCAAAAATTTGTCTTCACTAATTTGCATATCAATCAATAGTTTTTGCTTATAAACCTGCAGTTCTCCTTCAGTCTCTTAGTGTCACTGATGAAAGGTAGTAGTCTGACCGTTTTAGGTAGCACCAAAATTATATACAGCTACTTGAGTAACTGTTTTTGTGTGTCTTTTATTAGTTTGTTTTAGTATGTTTTTGCAGAAAGTATTTCCAAATTGCAGAACAAAATTTTGACTCTTCTGCAATATTGCAGAGCACTGAAAAAAAGTATTTCGACCACTGATACCTAATGATGAATTGCTTTCCTGAAAGATAAGTGTCTATCATAAACATCTGGATGACATTTGTCAGTCCCATCTCAGTATATCAAGTTTCTGTAGATACTGAAGCTATATTATAAAGGCATAAATTTTCCTCCACAAAACTCAGCCACCCATTTCGTCTCACTGTGTCAGTGTGTAACTAGAGAAGAGGAATGGAGTTAATTTCTAAGCAGATGTTAGGAGGAAAGATCATAATGATTTCTGACAGCCGGGCCTTTCCCACAGCTGGTTACCAGTTCGAAAAATGGAGCTGAGTCAAGAAATGTTAGGATCTTCCTCCCCATTATTTGGTTGGAGATTAGGATGGAGTATGCTGCGCCTGGTTTCATCCTGTAACCAAGGCTCAGGCCGCTGCATCTAAGGGCTGCTTTGCATTTTTGGAGTTCCCAGTAGCTTGACTGATGTCTGGGATTTAGTTGTGGGCTGTGCGAACTTTGTAGCTTGTTTCTTTATGATAAAGAAAAAGCAGAGATAGGATAAAAGGTTGAGATAACTCCACCCATACGTAAAGGGTTTGTGATAAAGGCCTTATAAACCTTCTTTTTCGTCCAAGGCTTGAATGCAATGATGTGTCTTGTCTCTGTGTTAAAAAATGGCTAAAGTTGAAGGAAAAACATTGGTGTGGATGTTAGAGAATGCCCAGCATTTTTGAGATTATTGGAGACATGTGAGGAGGAAGTGGTTGGTTGGTGTTCCGGAGGAGACAGGAGTTCCTGGGAGGTTCTGGAACAGATGGACCCCCCCCCCACCGAGGGCGTGAAGGGGGTTTCGTGCATCTCAAATCTCAGCAGCAGTGCCCTGGCTTAGATTCAAGACTCCTAAAGCACCTGTCTGTGAAGTATCGAGACGGGATTGTCATGATTGAGGATGGCCCGGCTGCGGTGAAATTCTACATCCCACTTGAGCCTGCATGGAGAATCCCAGGATTCCCTTTTTGCTCTGAATCGGTGCCAAAATAGGGGCCGTTCCAAGACGTAATATTAGTAAGAACGAAGGGAGGGCAAGGGGGCAACTCAGAACAAACTGGAAATGATTGCGTCTGAATATTGCAGGATAAAGATAGACTACATGAATTTTTATCTGTTTGCATCTAGTCAATCACATTGCAAATCCTACATTATTAGATTACAGTAAAAACTATCCCCAAAAGAATGGTATACTAAAATTTCATTTCGCTTTTCTGTTATACCTTGCTTGACCCGGACCACATCCTGGACTACATACTTGTTTATACAGGGAAGAGGCTTGTGAGGTTGTTGTAATAACTACCAGGACAGGGGAATGTCAGGGGCAACTGTTAGGCACCACTTCCGAGAGGGGTCGGCCTTGGGCCAGGCCCACCCATGTTTGATTAGGTTTAGAAGAAAAGAAACCCTGGTGTCTTGGAGATTGGAAGGCATCCGAGTCCTGACAAGGAGACTTAACACACTCTGACTACAAGGAATAGTGGAAGCTTTGTTTCTTGTCTCAGGATATAAGCAAGAATTCTTGAGAATAATAAGTTTTTGATACATACATTGTGCATTCATGAAGGAAGGAACTGAATGAAGGAATGAATGAAATAGCTGAAGGAAAAAAATAAAAGTGAATAAATGAAAGGAATTTTTAGCTGTTGTTGTTGACTATTGTGGGCAAAAATTAGGCTGGTGATATTCAGATACTAATCATATTAAATGCTACTTTATATAGACTCATAGTACTAGTAGCAAGGTAATTCAGTAACATTACACATACGATGGATTTCTATTGAATTACATCTTGCAGCAGTACTTTATTGAACAGTTTCTGATACAGACACTGTTTTCTGTTCTTCAGGAGTATGTCCCGACAGTGTTCGAGAACTACAAGGCAGGATTCGAGGTGGAGAAACAGAGAGTAGAGCTGAGTTTATGGGACACATCAGGTGAGCTAATCTCTCTCTAGTCCCATCTTACCAACCACACAACACCAATCAATATGTCTGGCACCCCAGACAATGCCTGCTTAATTACATTTTCTCCCCAGAAGGTAGGGTTTAGGTGTCGGTGTCCCGACTGGTTCCAGTTCTATTTGCCGAGGGTCGATAAACCACTAGGTGCACTAGTTTCCATAATTAACCCCCCTTTCAGAACGGTTTAGCTGACAGATATGAGACATTGCCTGGAGTTCTGGGTTAACGATTTTAAATCACTTCCCCTAACCTGATTTTCGCCAGGGTTTTCGTGACGTGTCACTGTTTAATGGTGTTATCGTTGTTCCGCACTGTGAACCAACACAAGGTCGCACCTCCGGGTGTGGCAGAATATTAATATTTGTTGTCATAATATGAACAAAACAGGAGGAAACCTTGTCTACCTCCAATATTGAAACAATGACTTCAAAGCAATTCAAACAAAGTCTTGCAGATTGCATGATTAGAATGGAATTTTATTATATTTTCAACTTGTTTTATCACTCTGAAAATGTGAACAGCTGAAATATTGTAGGGAAGGGCTAAAATTCATTCTTGCAAACTCATTTGAAGTTGAGTCATCACGTAGAACAAGTTTACAACCAAGTGCAAGTTTACAAGTGTAGGTATAATTATTGATTACTTTTACGGGCTGTGTGGGTAAAATCTTAGCATTGCTGCAGGCGAGAACAGAGAAATATGCGTCAGGACTGATCTTTGTGCAGGCGTATTGATACAAGGTTGACTTTGGTCGTGCCCTTTTATGCAAATAGACACAAGACAAAGAATAGAGGCAAGTTTGCTGATTCACCACTGTTGCCCACGGGCAAACACTTTGTTATGTAGGCCTGAGCAGACAGAGTCACTCATAAACAATGGTTTTATTTGAAAACTTGTATAGTGCACTATTCTGTCTGTCTTTACAGACAAGGCAACCGTTACACAATTGATTTTTACGTACAGGAAAAGCCATGAGTTGTGGCTAAACATAGGATGTACGTATAGGAAGTGCAGACACTGTACACTAGATGCGTGCAAGGAAGCTCGCGTAATTACACTGTAGTCTCCTTCTGAATAGAAAGGGGACAGGTGAATATGTAAGGCATGTTGACATAACATTGCGCCAACAATAACGCAGGGGTGTCTTCCCTGTCACAACCAACACTACTCGTAACACCAAGAAGTGTTGGTGCAAAAGTGGTGTCATTGATGCTTAGTAGCCTGGGTGCCAGTTCCTCAGCTCCAGGGCGAACATACCCCCCAAAATTTATATGTCAGCCCCCATCAGTTAGATCTTGATCCACATACACATGATGGCTAACTCAAGAGCTGGCTAACACTGGGCTTAGCATGCTATGAGTCTGGCATCCAGTAACTCTGGGGCTGGCTATTTCTCGGCCTTGCGTGCTGTGAGTCTGAATCCAGGCTATAACTACTGCTGGCATGTTATTCCTGACCTGCAGGTTACCATCCCACAAGAACAACAGCCGTATTGTTGTAATCTGCAGGGAAACAACAACAAAAACGACCTGTAGATTATACAGATGACCTTTCGCATTGTTATTGTTTCGCGAGGGAAGATTCTGCGCAGGGTTCCCATGCAGGGCTCGAAACTAGCTGTACATGTTTGAATTTTGTTTCCTTCCTCGTAACGTTGCATACTTGTGCGTAAGTCAAATGCATGATTTTAACTAGTCCTTTGAGTTGTAAAGCCTAAAAAGTGAGATATCCTCCCAAGCCTTAAGATTTTATTTTATTAATTGGTTTCTTCATGTGTTTTTCCACAGAAAAGAACAGAAAAATCTTTTGTGTTTATTTGACAATTAGATTACAATGTATTCTTTTTATCATTGTTTCATATGTCCGAACACTACAAACTGTGATCCACCTATTACTATACTATAGTATTAGAATGTATCAAAGACTTATCTGAAGTATGTGCATGTTGTTAACAGTTGGTTTCCTGGGTTAATGTGGTTGATTGTGCATTGATAGAAATCTACACGTGGAGGTGCGCAAGGCTCGGAGCTCTGATAGTTGATCAGTATGCACGAGTAGGTATGACTATGAATGGCCCCGGTGTGGTGACTGGTGGGGCAGGTAGGGGATCCCATCAAAGCTGGCTGCCGGTTCTGTCCTGTTGTGTCGCCCCAGGGCGGCCAGGATGTCTCGCATTCCCCCCTCATCCATACAACAGGGTTCTAGCCAGCTCAATTTTTTTTCCATCAGCCCAGGTTCATGATCGGACCTGGTGGGAGAGTGCTCGCAATCTAGGGGGAGGCCTGGAGCAAATTTAGGATTTTCAATTCCTTAAAATCGCAATTTCCCACATTTTGAGAGGCAAATCATGAGGTTTAGAGCGGTTGTTGGTACATGGTGGTGCTTTGGATGTTTTTAGATTTTTCCCAAGATTTTTCTCAATTTTGTCCATCAAGGTTGACGGATTGGTTTAAGATTTTTTTTCCCATCACACGCCACAAAGTTCCTGCAATTGACAGAAAAACAGGTGCTGGCTAGAGCCCTGCTATACTCTCACTCACTATTATATATACACAGGCATGTTTGTGTTTGTTTGGAGTTTGGTGTAACTGTTGGACCAAAGAAACTTTACACACACAAAGAGACAAAGAGAAAGTAAATCAATCATTGAAACTAGATGAAGCGATAAAAACACTGTAAATCGCAAAACTTTTGCCCCTAACTGCTACTAGTATTATAGAATAGCCCACATAAGCTGCTATGGGAAAGTTATTACCTTTCTACGAATGAATTATGTTTACTCATTAAAGCATTCAAATTCAGAACGTAAATTCTTAGCTGTCTACAGATGTTACTCATGAATTATGTTCACTCAAAATAGTCAAATACCATTCGTATTCAGACTGTTGTCTTGGATCTAGAATGAGCCAGTGACTTCTGTAAGGTACTGTAAATCACGATTTTATACTTGATACTTTTATTTTTGCAGCTTCTTCTGTACCACAAACTTATCATTATCGTGAACAAATAATTCACCAATTCTCTTTTTTCTGCACCTGCTGCCAACAAGATCGTATAGTTCTGCAAACATGCCAATTTTTCTCAGACCATAAAATTTTGCCAACGCGAACATAAAAGAGCTGATTGTCAAATAAATGGTCCTGGTAGGAACTTTGTGGTCAACCCTCCAAACATCTGCTTGGAGATTACAAGAACAAGCAACAATGTACCAGCCCTTGCTGAGAAGAATCTCTGAGCATTACTTACTGTTCTGGCGGGGAATCTTAGAGCCTTGGGTAACAGATTGTTCAATTTCCTGCTGGAAATGTCTCCCCATCCTTTATCATAGCCATTATCTATCAACCAGTCATTTGATGATGTAGGCCATATCCCCCAAGGCTCGGGGTAAGAGTAATAATTATGTGTACTGCTGCTTTCTGATTACAGGTGCTGTACTCGGAAAGGAAAGAGCACAATAAATATACCTAATCCATGTAATGTGTCAACTTCTCGCGTTTGTGCATCGTTGAAGAATGCCTTTGGAAGAGGACATTTCAGTTCTACTGGGGTAGAACCGTACTGCATTTCCTGAAAGCTCTTGAAACACAAGTTTAGATGGAAATTGTGTGTTCCTAAGAATGCAAGATAGTTTACTGTCATTGGAGATCAATTAACAAAATTATGCGGGTTTAAGTTACAATCTTATTACAAATTATAAGAAATTTAGGAAAGACACAAGAAACTGAGACTCTTCAACACGATTTTAACTCGGAAACTTTGGGGAATTCTGTATTGTAACTGAACGAAGCAGAAGCACGAGTAGTTAGGTGTTTCCAAAGAACATGTTACTATTGTTAGTGCACATCCAGGTTAGTGTACTGCCGGGTCATGGGGGCAGCGACACTCGATGTTTCCTATTGGGGATGGCCAATGTTGTTGTTCGTCCGTCGTAGTCGACGATGACCAATGAACATCACATCAGGTCTTGTGTGTCCGGCTGTGGCTCACAAGTCCTATACGGGCTCTGAAGGTTCTGCCACAGGTCGGGCACAGGTGGGTTTCTGGAGTCCGGGATGTGGGGGCAGCTCTGGAAGCGCGTTTCCTCACGGCTTCTGCGATCCTGGTTTGCTCGTATAGAGTAGCACCGCTGCTGATGTGGCTGCGCCAGGCAGCACGGTTTTGGGCTGCTGATTCCCAGGTAGATGTATCTATCTTGAAACTTTTAAGAGTTGTTTTCAGTGTGTCCTTAAAGCGCTTTTTCTGTCCTCCTACTGAGCGCTTGCCTTCTACCAGTTCACTGTACAGAAGTCTCTTCGGTAGCCGTGTGTCAGGCATCCTTACCAGGTGGCCTGCCCATCTGACTTGGGCTCTCCTCAGCAGTGTGTGGATGCTTGGCAGATCGGCCCGCTGGAGGATCTCTGTGTCTGGGACTTTGTCTTGCCAAGTGATCTTCATGAGTCTTTTCAGGCAGTTTATGTGAAAGCGATTGAGCTTTCTGGCATGACGTGCGTAGATCGTCCATGTTTCGCAGGCGTACAGTAGTGATGGCAGTACAACTGCCCTGTACACTTTTAACTTCGTGCTCAGTCTAATGCCTCTCCTCTCCGACACTGAGGCTCGCAGACGTCCGAAGGAGGAGCTTGCCAGAGCGACCCGTGCGTCAACCTCATCGTCTATGTTTACAGACCTGGAGAGTGTGCTGCCGAGGTACTTGAATTTTGCAACTGCCTTTAGTGATTCCCCATTTACAGTAATGACAGGATCCACGTACGGCTTATGCGGTGCAGGTTGGTACAGGACCTCTGTTTTCTTAGTGCTTATCGTGAGACCAAAGTTGTCAGCAGCAGAAGAAAAGCGATCCATACTCTGTTGCATCAAGTCCTCTGAGGCAGCATTTAACGCACTGTCGTCTGCAAACAGGAAGTCACGCACAGACGTCACCTTCACCTTCGTCTTGGCCTTTAGTCTCCTCAAGTTGAAGAGTCTGCCGTCAG